ATGTTTGATTGTGCGTTTGTATTATGGTTACAAACAGTCTCCTTCACTTTACCCGATTATACATCCATCGAATAGATTTACGTATCCATATCACCGAAAACCAAACCATTTTACCAAAAATCCATTTCTCAATATGCAAACTTTTCAACGGTGCCTTTTCTCCTCTCCTATTTCACGATGGCGGCTTTTGTCTCGTGGTTTTTTTCATTCGGCACCCACCTAACGTACTAGTTGCCATTGCACGTTCTTCTTTTTTTCCACTACCTAAATTGTTTTCTCTCGATGGGTTCAAACAACAAATCTTGCTTGCGAACGGTTTCTCGTCATTTTGGCATGCGGTTACCAATTTATAATGAGCTTTATTCTGTGGCAAAATGAAGATTCAAGCAATACAGTACTAAAAAACACACCATTAACCATGACATCGCATCGTATCGCGCACTAGAGAAAATCTTAAAATAAACAATGAAATGTGTGTGCAAGAGTGTGTTCATGAACACGAAAATTAAGATGTGGAAAAATTCATCGGCGTTAGAGCGGTAAAGTTTTTAATTTCCTGCATGAAACCACCATCGACCACCAAAAGTGAGACGGACAAAAAAAATGATTCCGTATTCATCTCATAGCATTAATGAAGGAAGGCATTGCGTTTTTGAAAATCGGGCTTTATGCAAATATTGATTACCTGATCCATGGACGGCTATTTCTTTTCTTTTACTTTTTTCTGCGTTTCTTTTTCGCATACTTGAAGCCATTATATTGGTTGAGTGAATCTGATAAGTAAGAAAAAAAATTAACACCAACACTTAATCCGATGAGTGTGATGGATTGAAATTGATTCCGAAAACGTTCGTTGAATTTATTTACTAAATAAAAAGCGCATGCCCTTTGGCGGATTTATTCTTTCAGCATTTGATTTTAAATATTTTAATTGAATTATGTGCGCTGGGAGAAAGATTCAAAGATATTTCTGTATCTTTAGCAATTTTGGAGTTTCTTTTTACTTGAAATTTGATAAAAAAATGATAGTAATGTCATTTGGGTTTCCTTTTTGAATTCCAAAATAGGGAACCATTCGGGAAAATGGATGAAATAAATAATTTCTCATCCGTCAAAGATAAGAAAACTGAACAATTAAAGCTGAAATGATGTTGAGCAAGAAGGAAATGATGATGATGAAGAAAAAGAACAACGAAAAAATGCTTGAGAAACGCGAAATGAATCGGATTAAAAATGAGATTTTGTCATAATTAGCAAAAAGAAACATTTTTGCAGCTTCATTTCTTTTTTTTTTCTTTTCACCGCCCCCGTCAACCATTCATGAGGCAATATGTCATTTAAAAGCAATATACATGGTGAATTTTGAAATCGAGTCAGCTCATTTATAGCTATAAGGAGTCTGTACGCCATTAACAAGTTGATGATGGGTCGCGCGCGCGAAAATGAAATAAGACGTTGACTGTCAGTTTCAAGTAAAAACTCATATCCGTTTTCTCTCTTTCGCTCTTATTGTGTGTTGTTAATGCGAGCAAATAGACGAAGAAGGCGGGAAAAAATGAAATCATAAGAGAATGGCATGGGCAGCAACAGCAGCATTCGCACAGTCACATAAATGGTACGAGCAATCGTTATGCGAAACGGGATGCCATTTGCATCTCTTAAGTATTTTGCTGCCATTCTTTTCGCCCGTTTCCCAATCTAACATAGCACAATTTTACATATATTTATATTTTTCACATTCTCTTGTTCGAATGCATGCGATGGTTTACTTTTCAATGTTTCTAAACGGATTTATTTTCATATTTGAGTGACAAAAACGCGCCAGAAACATACACAACCATTTTAAGCTTGTGCTTGTTCGTTACACACACACACACACACACACACATTTTTTTCTTTCTCGTATAGATCTCTGTCACTTCAGTTTCTCGTTCATTTTAATTTCGTCTCATTTTCCTTTTTGCAGTTATGATTTATCATAAAATTTACTTCATCCGTATTGTTGGAAGAGGCTTGCATAGCATACACACACTCACAACAGAAACACGGAAGTAGCAGATAAAGCGAGCGAGCACAAGAGAAAAGGAGACAGTTGTCGTGCGCGCTTTAGCAAATGAATGTAACCGAATGACGAAAAGTAGATAAGAGGAATATTACGGGGAAAAAAAACATTTGTTGAAAAACCACGGTTTAACAACGCAAAATCACGTTAACTACAATGAATTGCATATACGCACTGCATAATTACATTTATGAAAATGTGCATGCAGAGAAGAAACGCGAGACGTGTAGACGATGACGACGAGAGGGCCAAAGTGAGTTCATGACAGAGTGCAAGTGTGCATAATAGAGACATGTTTTTGCCATTGCGATATAGCATTTGTTGTGTACGTAATCGTTAAAATAACAAGCAATGGTGCATTTTTCATGAGAAAATTCTTATTTATTCACTAGCAAACTTCAACTAGAGCATTTCAACGTAGCACACTGAACTTATGTGTGTGTGTGTATGTTCGTGTGTTTATGGAGAATTCTGTGTACAAGAAATGCAGCATTCGGATTTGCTTTATCTGTGCCATCCAAACGCGCTAGGGAATAGAAATAGAAGAGAGGATGATGGTGAGAAAGACGAAAATAGAGCAAATACACGAGACAAAGTTGATACTCTCTACGCGCGACAATCTTGAGAGTTGCGTAAATAACTTGAATAATTTTGATCATTTCAGTGTTGCTGCATATACATAAAAATAACCACTAATGTTCGGTTACGAATGATTTTGAATGCAAAAATGTTACATGCGAAGCAAAACACCATTTGAACTAGAATGTTTTTATTCATCCGATTCGCACATATCATCCGTATTCAATTTTGTTTTGTTGCAAATGAAAAATAAAATAAAAACCATAAATATTCACCCAAAACGAATGATGAAGTGCAAAATGCTGGCATATAAATGCTGCTCTCAACCCATGCCTGATGTAAAAGATAGAAAGCAAGTGAATGAGCGAAAAATGTATAACAACAACAAAATACGAGAGAAAATATGTACATTTCAAAATACTATAGGTACCAATGGTTTTCCATTGTATTTTCGGCGCTGGAAAATTGATATAAACCATAATAATGAAAATGGTATGGCATGAGCTTTGGTATTTTTCTCTCAAACCCGATTTCAAATTCAGCCAATCTATGCGAAAAATACGCTTATTTGTGTATGTAGTTGTTTGTATTTGCCGCACATAAATTGAAAGAAACTGAGATATTTTCAAGAATTGAAGACATGGCAACGAAGAATGAGAGGAACAAGAAAAAAAAGAATATATACAAAAAGCAGCAATTGCAAATGGATTTTCATACGTCTTTTTGTCATATCGGTTCTATGCAGCCATACACACCGTTTTGTCTTCAGCACAAAATTCATTGTCATATCTTCATTGAATCGACTTAATGCTATTTGCCAATCCAAATACTCACTCGAATTTATACGAATACATTTATGTTTCTACATTTTCTCGTACAAAATGGTTGTGCGTTTTTATATCACAAGCCCCATTCGATTCCCTTCATCCTTCATGACCACAAAAAATATGTTTATTGCATTCATATCGAATGCCGTTCTGAATTCTTTTCTCCCCATCATACAAATATTTATCTATTCATTGTACAAATGCTTACTTGGTATAACTTCATACATAAGCGACGATATGTGTTGTTTTAGGCCAGCCAATTTTCACCGCATGATTTTGAATCTTTCTCTCTCTTTCCCTTTTTTCTCTCAGTCAATATCAAAAACCTATTCACTTAACCAAGATTGTTTGCGCAAAATTTCCACACTTTACATACCGATATAAATTAAAATGATTACTACGGTCTATGCCGGGGCCAAAATTCATAAATAAAAGCGAATATATCGAATTCATCTGACAAACGAACAAACGAATATAGTGGACTAAAAGAGAGTTGGAGAAGTGGTGAAACTAGTGGAATCTGGTGATTTCATTATGTTAAACGGTGTTTATAGTGGATATGTCGGAAGAAGACATATTCAATATTTTGCATTTATTGTTCATTTGTTTTATGCATTCGTTATGAATGGTTCAAACCTGTCCCAAATTTCAGTTTGCACTATCCGAGCTCCTGTATGTATCGGTGTGTGTGTCTATGTGTGTGTCGGTTGGTATTTTGAGAAAATTTATTTTAAGAGTAAATATTTCCATAAAGCCCGGAAAATTGTTGGAAATATTTATGTCAATGTTGAAAATTTCATTGAAATTGTATTTATAAATATTTTTATTTGTGAATATTTTCTCTGATTTTTCTTTCAATTTTCATTGTGTATTGCTGATTTTTTTTTTTCGCTTTTGTTGTTTTCAGTCAAGCCCAAAGGCCATGCTAGTAAGAGGACGCCGATTAAATGGTAATGGTGGCACAGAAAGAAAAATAAACGGTGTCGCATTTACAACGTGAATTTCACATTATCGCCAACATTATTAATACATAATAAATAGAAGGCATAAGCACGCTGCTAATAATAGTACATCGTTCATAACAACCAACAACAACAATTATGGCAACAGGAAACATCAGCAATACAAATTGAAGAGCATTTATCGATTTTTTTCGGCGGCAGCGGGGAGCGAACAAAAGTAATGGAGTAAATGATGTTTCACTTGTTTAGATACATATACACGTTCGATTGATCCGATTTTCTGATAGTAGAGTGCAATGGAATTCTTTTTCGATTCATTAAATTTCGATTCAATTAAATGTAATTCGCGCTAAATTAAAACTCAAAATGTAATACACAACTTCATCGATATGCATGAAAATAGAAATAAACTCTGAAAAGTTCAACGTCCCCATTTACGCTAGATTGAATATTGGAGCAACGAAATAATTTAATTTGATAATAAATCAATGTAACACATTATGAAAATCACACAATAAAATATATATAGATGTGTGTATGTGTCATTGGAAACATTTCGCTAATATTTACCTCAATTGGATTTCAATCAATCTTCATTTTTTTTACCCAAATCGAAGTCGAATATTTTGGATAGCATATCATCACATTCCATTTCACAACAACCATGTCTCGTTCGAATCTCTGAACAAAATTACACGATTATTCTTCAACAGAGGATGCATTTCAGGCATTGAAATTCATGCAATTCGTAGAATGTCTTTTTGTTTGATGTGGTTGAAAAAGTTTACACAGTGTTTGTTTTACTATTTTCACTCTTCCTTTGTCTGTCTTTCTACGTCATTACTACTTTCAGAAATTCAGTTTTGTTTCACTTGATGCACTCCAGCTATAGAATTACGCTTAATTACAGCAGAATTTTTTTTATTCACTGCGATTCATTTGCAAACGAAAACTTCATTCACTGTTCGCAAACAAGTAAAGAGAAATATTCACGGGAATTTTTGCAAACTGTTTTGTAATGTGAGAAAATATGCTTTTCATATACAGAGTGAAAATGTGTATTCAATTAATCCAAATATTTTGGTTTGCTAAATACAGATGTATAGATGGATGTTACTGAACGAGCACGAGTGCGAATTTCTCTGTGTGATGATAGGATGAAACTATGAATGATACAAATGATATCGACAAATATATTTGCAATGCGTAACCATCTAGTTGAAACTGTCGACTGAGATGTATCAGATCCTTACATTTTTTCAAATAAGCAAAAACAGACTGGTAAACGCGTTGCTAACACACACTCACACACATATACATATACTGACGCTGATTCTAATGGAGTTAAAGAGTGTGTGAAACAAACACGGACTCATTGTTGGAGGAAATGCGCACGCACACAAATACATGCATGTCCTGCTGTTCAACCTGATTTTCAGCAAGCTTTCGAGAAAAATGGAGCACAAGCCATCAGCTCTCTGGTATGATTGTATGGCAGTTAGCGAGACTACACGTACAGCTGGTTATATGTTGTATTTTGTGATGATTTCGAGTGCGTCGCTCATTTGATAGCAGCAGCACCGTTGCGTACCGAAACACACAACAGACACGTGAACAAAGCGAACGCGATTACGGGACATATAACATGCAGAAGCATATTGAGTAGAAGAAATTTGTTGTTTGATGGCAACAATAAATTGCACCGAATGTCTATGTGGTATTTGTATGCGTTCACTATGTGTGTGTATGTATACGACACTGCATTGTATCGAATCCGTAAAAGACAACTCAGTTGCGATTGTATGAGTGTATGCGTTTGTGCTTGTACTCTCACACATAAACAGAAGGATATCGAAATGCTTTTGACTTTGCCGCGCACAATCAGATATGCAACAAATCCAATATCGTACACATTCATAGTCAGAACCTGTGTGTAGTCATCTTGTTTGGTCATTTGTTCGAGCAATGTGTTGATAAACCGTTTCAATTCCATCACACAGAAGGAATATCGTCGTCTCGATGGATGTTTTCATCCTTTTTGGAATAAGAAAATCACTCAATTGCAAGCATTTTCCAACCTCCCAAACATCGCAACCACTTCGGTAAATTATGGAAGGAAGATTTAGAACATCGTCGCTACTGCTTATGATGCCGCCGTTGCTGTTATCGTACGAGTAAAAAAATGAAAAGAAAAATCCTTACTAAATCTACCGTTTGCTTTTGTTCGCTTCGTTTCGTCTTTTCTATGGAATGTTCCATTGTGTTCGTCTTTTACCGTCGCATTTCAACCATTGAAAACGTATTAGAAAACGACATAAATGTGTATCCTTCGTATGTTATACGCTCAAAATGGTTTTGTAAGCCAAAAAATGTATACGAATACATGCAAAATTAAATGATGCATAAGAAAATTGTTATGTGAAGAGTGTGAACGAAATACTAATGGATAAATTTTAGACTCGCTCTCTCTCTCTCTCTCTCTTGATGCTTCCACGGATTCGGACCGTCTTTTGGTCCACACATCCAGCAGTCAGCATCATCAGTCTCCATCGTTTATATCGTAGTGCATTTCTTCTTGCTTTACAGTCGCCGCCGTCATCATCTTCGTTACGTTGATTTCTTCTTTGCTATTTTTTTTCTTTGTGTATGTGTGTCTTGTATTTTGTTTTCATCTTTAGTATAAAATTTAAATAGTTACATTCTTCTATAGATCCTTACGTTAAATCGCTTTTACAGCTATGTGCTCCTTTTTGTTTCTTCGTATCGATTTTTTACTTTACAAAAGCATTATACTTTGCACTTTCTTCGCCGTCTTCTCTTAGTAACGCACACAAATGTATTTGTTTTATTATTTCCTTCAAATGGAATGATTTTTTTGAATTTACAACATTAGCGAGCATTAGGTTGAGCCAAAGAAAGAAAACAAAAGAGAAGCAGAGAGAATGAACCAACGTACGAAACAAAAAAAAACTAATAAAACACAAAAAGGCCCCCCAACGAAAGAATGCACATTATACATTTCAAAGAATAAATAGAAAAAAAGCAATCCGACAATAAAAAATGTCATTTCAATTTTAGCGCTATGTGTGTGGGTTTAGTAGAAAAGGTGTTGCTTTTATTGTAGACGATTTCACCTGCTGTTACATGATTCCAGTGAAAATTGATACGATTGCTGTCGCTGATTCTGTTATGCTGGTGTTGGAGTTCATGTCGTGTAATGATGAGCGAGCGCGACCGCCTTCGAATTGCAGATCATTCGAGTTATTTATTTGCCTAATTGCATGGCGCGTAAATGAATTGGAAATTGAGGGAATGAATATCGTTTTTGTTGCCACTCTTTTTTCATTATTCCTTTCCTTTTTTCTACTTCTTCTTAATGTCTTTTCTTTTATTTAGCACTTTTTCTTTCGTTTAATTCTACAGTGTTTGCGCTGCTCCTTCGTGCGAATGTTTTTGACTAATAGGCGCCCATTGATTTGAGTGGATTAAACTTTTTTTCCCTTCTTATTGGCCATTACACCGGCGTTCTCAAGTTGGGAACATATGAAAAGCCATTCGCAGCCCATTCTAAATAAATGCGTGAATTTAACATGAGAATTTGTGGCAATCACTGCGCTCTTTCTTTTTCGACACTTTTTTTTACTATTAGTATAAAATATTTAATCAAAATGTGAACTTGACGCACAAGCTGCTACACACAAATCGAATGGAATGTCAAATATATTGTTTGGAATTTCACATCTCTCGTACATGTAATGCATATGGTGTGAGTCGTATTGGGAATATGGAGGGAGAAAAAAAGTGGCAGGGGATTGAAAAAAGTGACTAATCAGCTGGCTAATTTTCAAGAACAATGAATTATGAGGGAATTGGAAAATCAAATTGATTATTATTAAAAACTGTCGATAAAGTTAACCCAAAAATGAAGAAAAAACATGCAAACACACACTTGATTTGAAATTTAAAATCAAACATTTTTCTCGGATAGTAATAAAGTACAAACGGCGTGTGGATACAACGATACTAGAAAGTCGTATGGGGATTTGGGGCTCGTTTATTCCCTTTTTATTATTATTGTTGCAATCACCCCATGGCAATTCTTATCGTTTAGCAAAAGAAAGAAAGAAGAAAAACAATCTCCATTCAGTATCCGCCATTATACGATATTGCGATTGACTAACAATAACTTTTGTGCTGTTATAATAACAAATGTGTCGATGATATGTATGGTGTAGCTGCAGTAGTGATTGTTTTTTTTCCTACTCATTTTTGTACATGGTAAAAGCACTTGCTCGACCCAATGCTATCATCATAATCACCGTCACCAAAGGCAACAATAACATTCGTAATCAAACAGAATACATATAAAAATAAATAGAATAAAAATGTCGAAGAACACATGTATTCCAAGATTGATGAACAAAAATGTGAAACAGTGAGAAGAAGAAGAAAAAATCGCTTTAACGTGGAATGCAACAAACGGCGTCGAGATATTGGTGAAAAAAACGAATCGAAATGAAATGAAATGAAACAAAGCCAAAGTATCGAATCATTCGAGCTGAGTACTTTTGTCAGATTTGTTGTTGGCGCGTGTATTTATGTAGTCTGTATTGGTTGTTTTTGCTTTTGGAATTGCATTTTTATTTTGGCATTTCTTGTGACATTTGCTGTGTACGCGCACACATTTATGTGTAACTCAGTTTACCCATTGTTTTTGAAAGTCGCCCGTTTGAAAATCATTGCAGGTTTCAAACAGACACAGACACGGTTAGGCATGCAAGAATTCACAGCGTGGCAAGTGAAGCAAGTAAGCCGATGAAACGGCATTCAGGGCATGCAAAATCGTATAAATAATACCGTTCGGCATTGAATGGTGTTTTACAGACTTTTGAGATGACGGTTAAGAGTAATAATAGAAGCATCGGCAGAGGCAACAGCCGCAGAAGCAAAAAAATGGGCTAAACATACAAAAATAAATACGATACCTTGCATTATATTATTATGTGTATCATCGTGCCATAATCACATGAATTCTTGGTTTGTTGTTGTTATTGTAGAAGCTTTGCTTTGAGTAAAGACGATTGTGTGTGTTCGAATTCAGTTCGACAGAAGAAGTATTGCGTTCATTGAGTTGGCGGCCAAGTTACATGGTGTTTGTGTGTTGTTCCATGGAGCTTCACGTTTACCTTTCAAGCGTGAAGCAGAAATATATTACATTTGTGCCAATCCAATGTTTGTTCGTTGTTGTCGTTTGTCGAAGGACCAAATATGAACTGAATTTACCTCTTGCTTGCATTCTTTCTTTTATATTTTGACGTTCCACTTTAGCATCTACTTGATTTCTTCAGCACTCGTTCTTTACAGTATCAATTTACCGCATCTCACTTTCTATCTATCTATCTACTATATCTCTCCTATGCTCATTGCTTACTCACCTCAAGTAGTATCCCACAGAGGCAAAAGCTGAATATATCCGACCGATTCGCGACATTAAAAAAACACACTCAAACACCGAATGCGTTTTTTTGTGTACGATATTCACCTTGTGGTATGGCGTGGTGTGGTGTGGGATGGATCTTTACATTGCTTTCGACTGCCAAATGTATTAACATAGGATCAAAAAGTATGTTTTCTTTCTTCAGTACGGTATTTTATGTGCTTAACGCTTGGCTGGCTACACTTTCCGTCGTTTGTTGTTTGGTGAATGTGTTGGCGCGAACAAGCGTGCGGGCGAATGAACAAACGAGCTCATGAACGAAAGATTGAATGAGTCAGTGAGTGTACTTCATACGCTCTGCATGTGTGCAAAAGAGTACTCCAAAGATTTGCAATACACCTTTGGGGAATGTGACCAATATTTACCTAAAAGCTCTTGAGCTCTCCTAACTGTCTTTCGCATAAAAATAATGTTAGAATGTATGTATCTCACGCAGTGCGAGCAACGGCAATACCCATTCGCAATGATTAATAAATTTTATTATTATTTATCGTCATTGAAGGTGGCAGTTTGCACATTATAGCACACAGTACACATTCACTCATACACACACACACTATGCTACATACACGCACGAATTTTCATACAGCATTGTACCATGCACAGCAGAAGAGCGAGACGGTAGCATGCACGAATGAAGAAAAATAAATGTGACGAAGTAAAATGCGGGAAAAACCATTTACCAATTCACATTTCGCACCGGGGTTGAATGGATGTTCAACCAATACGACTGCGAATACCAATTCGCATCGGATGAAATTTATTTTTATTTGTTCATACTCAACTCTCGTTCGTGCTCTTAAATGTACGCTGTGTAGGGGTGCGTGCATAAAATCTCAGCCAATTTGTTTAATACGAAATTGTGTATTACACACTTTTTTCTGTCGTTCGCTCATTTTTGGTTATTCATCATAACAAACATTTGGCATACACACTTGAACAACGTAAACAGTGCCCGACATTCGACGAAATCGCTCTTTCGACTTTTGTGTCAATATGCGTTACTGGCTCTAGGTATTCTTTTAGTCTCATCCTTCAACTTTTCGTTGCCTACATTTCGGATAGCCATTGAAAAGGCTTAATGTGATCACATAACACTTTAACATGCTTTATTCGTTTTCTTGGGGTACATAAACAAGCAAAAATGCTTTGTTTTTCCTAGTATTTGATATCACAATTTATATCACTTAATGATTATATTTCGACAGTGTTTGTGTGTGCTCCATATATGTGAATCGTTGACAGTACCACCATCAAATAAACTAAATATACTTTCTTTGTGTGGGTCTCCTTCTCTCAATCTTATTCTTTCTTTTCTTTCGCATGTCGAATGCGTAAACCTTAAAACCCGAAACGCATTGCACATTATATAAAATGTATGAAGTGTATGCTTGGCCATAGAATATCCGACAAATATCCTGCAATCGTATTATTTTATGGTATTTGGCTACCGAACACACATTTTTCCTTATCTTATTTAGCTTTCTTTCACTTTGAATTTGTTTTACTTTTTTCCACACTTTTGCATGTGTGTATAATTTGTCATAAAAATACAAAAAAAAGTTACAATTTTCTTCGACTGTTTCAGATCTTGGCATGATGATGAAGGTTCTTCAAAGTTAATCCGTTTCGAAAAACTTCAATTCGAATAGTTACTTTGTCCGCATAAAGTTACATTCTAAATGTTTGTTGTGCTTTTGTGATGTTTTCTCCAGCTTTTTGCTTTCTCAATCGCCAGCAAATCAGGAAGTTTCAAGTTTGTTTGTTTTTTTTTTATGTGACGGTAAAATGAAGAAATCTTCACAAAAATAAAAGGTTAAATTTGTTTTAGGCCACATTGATGTAGTCCATAGAACCAATTTACGGAACGCAACATTGATGCACGCGCGTGTGTTATGTGTCTTCATTTTACTGATGGACATTTCTATCAAACAAATACAGTTATTCCAAAGGTATTTTTCGGTACGGTCACTCTCAACATTGAATCCCAAATATATCTATTATTTTATGAGTGTTTACAACCTGCACGCACACATGTGGTGTGCAATCATCCGAAAAAGAATTACGAAGAGAAACACACAGCAGCAAATTCGACATCGCAATGCATAGGGAGGACGTGATATGTAAGCGTAAACTGGAGAACGCATTATACAACATTTAGAGCTGTGCTCGAATCTCAATTGTAACAATTTTTGCACTCGAAGTGAAACAAGCAGAAGAGGCGAACCAAACCAAACGATGTTACACCCTAACCAGTCAGTATCCACCTATCCATTCACATTGTTTCGATCGCAATGCAAAAGGATATATAATCTTTTCAATATAATAATTAGATTGCTTCGGGTTTTGTGTTCGGTGTGCGCTATTTACGAAATTGTTTTCCACTAAGTCCTTTTGTCTTGTGACCGATTATTTCTTCGTGATGTGCAATTTATTTGATCGAATCTCAAAGATTTCACGTATGATGGTGATGGTACTACATCACTTCGATGGCAACGAAACAAAAAAAATGTGTATATCGTTCCGAAACCATCGCCATTTCTCTCCATTATTTTTTTTACATTTGATTTACGAATTGCTTCGTAATTTTTGTGCGGGAAAAAGATGAAGGCTATTAACTTGCAGACTTTATGGACGGGGTTTTTAATAGTTTTTCGATTGAAAAGTGCATAAAGTCAAGGCTTCTTTTTTTTATGGGACCATCGTATCTATATATCTCAATTGCCCTTTTAACATTTCAAATGGATGCATTATAGTAGATATTGCGTTTGCAATGAATTGTATGAGAATTGAGAACCGAGTGAATCGCGCCCATTGCCATTTGATGGAAAAATATAAAGTATAAATAATTTTCAAGTCTTAAACTTCGAAGCCCAAATGTTTGTTTTGCTTCTGGCCATTTGAAATGTGTTCATATAATAGCTGCAATTACGTTTTACAACATTTCATAAGTGATTTGGGTCGTCAGCGTGTTTATATCATAATAATCGAAACTCAACCATTTTTGCTTTCATGACCATGTGCATATATGATGTATCTGGCATCACATCCTATACACAATACACATTTTAACCGACTCAAGTATAAAACTTACGTCATGTTTTGCCCGTTTCTTTCGTATTTATTTATTTTTTTTCTTTCACTCTTTAATCGACCACAATTATCTAACTGTCTGGGCAAATGGTCTCCAGGCGGAGTCATGTGAAATATTGATAAGTACGAACCGACCGCATTGCCTAGGGCCAAAATCAATCCGCTCATTACAAACACACTTAACCGACTTTCGGAAAATTAATCCTTGGATGTGGTGACGTAAACTAAGCGTCCATGTCATGAGGATTTTGCTGTTACAATGTTAACAGATTAAAGCCAAAATCAAAGCTTTTACTGGAATTCAATCAACGCGATCGCATTGAATCACCATTATACGAATGACGCCCATTCCATTTATACACTTGCAATATACATACACTTTTTGATATGGCGAAAAATGAATTTGGAAATGATTGCATATATCAACACTTCTTTATCACATACCGACGATAAAAAGTTTCAAGTCCAAAGTATTAATATTAAAATTCGAACATTTTTCCATTATTATTTTTATACCAATTTAGTTCTGTCATCGATGATAAGCAAAATGCAATGCATGAATATAATATAGTTGATATGTGATAAAAAATAGCGCAGAAAAACAAACAAAAATTTTAAATGGGGTGGGCATTCAACCCAAAGCTATAGCTTATAATGTTGTTGAAAATAAATTAATTTGATAAAACAATTTTGTTTAATTTCAACTTAGCCCATGTCGTTGCATACATCGCGTTGAACTTTATGGGTTTGTCTGTTCAGTGTTTACTTTGAAGCACTTTTCGAATGCTAGCAGACAGACGTGTTTTTCAACTTTTGTTCAATTTGTATGAGTTTTATATAAATAGAAGACGAAATGATAACACACTCAAGCACATTGATTGCAAGTTGATAAATAATATAAATATTTGGTGTCTTCTTATTTAATTTTTTTTATAGTCGTGTATTCAACTCCTATTCAATGCATGCAATGTATCAGCACGTAATAAAACAAGATAAGAACAAACGGTTAGAAATATAGCTGTTTAAATGCATAATTACGAGTGTATTTATTGTTATTTGTGCATTGAAACAACTTACATCGCCTTTGAAAAAGAAATTCAAACTGTCTTTCAAATAAGCAAATAAATATTCTTTTTAAATATTACTATTATGAAAATAGCAATTGTTGGAGCTGGCGTCATTGGGACCACAACAGCATTACGGTTGCAAGAACAATTTGGACATAAAGTATTAATAACCATTTTCTCAGAACAGTTTTCACCACATACAACAGGTGATGTGTCGGCGGGACTATGGGGGCCATACATTCTCGGTGATACTCCACAGGAAAAGATTTTGTAATAAACATATTGAATGCACTATATTAAGAAATAAAAACTCGATGTAAATGGTAAATGTAATTCTTTTTTTTTATATTTCAGGAAATGGTCAAAAGACACACACGATTACTTTCATAAATTATGGAAAGATGGATGTGCAGCTGAAACTGGAGTCTCGTTGATACCAGCGATGAGAGTCACAACTGAATCAGAAGCGTATGACGTTTTATGGAAAGATGTCGTTTTCGGATGCATTAATATGGATGAGAAAATGCTTAAACGCTTGAGCAATGAACATAAACGCAATTATAAGTATATTACAAAATCTTGTTACCATTTTAAATCGTTGTTCATTTGCACTTGGATTTATTTTTACACAGGCATGGAATTCAATTTAATACTTTCATATGCGAACCATCATATTTGCTTCCGTATTTGTATAAACTAATAACCAAAGCTGGCGGTCGCTTTGAACGAAAACGCGTTGAATCGTTTGATGAGCTACAATCGTTTGATTTGGTGATAAATTGTACAGGGCTTGGGGCCAAAGTGCTAGTCAAAGATGATGCAAAACTGATGCCCATACGCGGGCAAGTCTCTCGCGTTAAGGCTCCTTGGATCCTCCACGTCACTATAGATGACTCAGATGATGGCCGTTATATTATACCCAAGTAAAAATAAATCAAAAATTGTGTCGGTGAGAATAAAACTTGGAGCGTACTTTTACAAATGTATTACAAAGTAAAAAAAGTGGTTTCTCCAAAAAGCAACGTAGCATCAAAGTTACTACAATACAACTTATGTTGCATTTTATTTACAAACTACTTATTCAAGCTTTGTATTCAAAGTAGGCTGCTGTATTCCCAGTTTTATTCTCACCAAATCAATAATACTTAAAGTGTGTAGTACGAATCAAGCATGCCATATATATTCTACTCAGTAAATGCTCAGAAAAAATAATAATAATTTTGTATCTTTTATCTTTTACCATCCATGGAGCATGCACACAATTATTTTGGGCGGAACACATCAGGCAGATGACTATAATAGAAAAGTGAGTGCCACCGACAGACAATTTATTTATGACGGTTGCGTTCAATTGAACGCATCAATAAAACGTGCCGAAATCGTTAAGGAAATGGTCGGATTGCGACCAGGCCGAAGCCAAGTGCGATTGGAACGAGATACATTCACCACCAGTAAGTAGAATAATGGCTAATTTATTTTTGCCGAAGAATTGTCAGTTTTTTTTTGTAATGGTTTGGATACATTGTTTCATTTGTATGACAGATAGTGGTAAACAGCTGCAAATAATTCATAACTATGGACATGGAGGTATTTTACATAATAGTTCGTGTCATAAACAATTCGTATTATAATTCATAATTCGTAATATATCATAGGTAGCGGTGTAACTTTATCTTATGGCTGTGCGATTGAAGTTGGTGACATTGTCACTGAAATTATGACAGATAGCATAAACAAAGTGAAAAGCAAGTTGTGAAACACAAAAAGACAACATCATCATTAATATTATAAACGTATACGTATTTTGGACAAGGAACATACGGAATTTCTCAAGAAAAGTATTTAGTTTCAGTGTTTGGCAAAAATATCTCTCCTACTATCTAGATAAATAGTAGGTAGACAGGGAATTTCAGATCAAGTATCTAGATGAATATTAGATAAAACTATCTTTTTTATATAAAAGATAAGATACTTTTGAGATATCTTACAAGATATCTGTAGATAAAATGAAGGAAAATTTGATTGTTTTCAAATTTGAGCAATTGTTAAAAAATATTTCAGTAGCTATTATCATTTAAAGAGATTTTTTTTCGAAATAATTTTAAATAGTTTTGTTGTGTTTATTACATCCCCCCGACATGAAAAAAGTGACATGGTGGCGCCATGTACCTGTAATATGGTGGTGAAAGAACAAACTTTGCATGTGCGACCACACAACGTATTTGCGACCACACTGTGATAGACGATTTGTTTTTTCTTCTACTTTTTTTTGAACGAAATAAATTTTAAATACAAAAATGATGAAATCGCAAGGAATTTTCTAATTGTAAACATTTTATTTTTGAAAATAGATAAATTTTATGATCACTCTTTGCGACCACGCACATTTTGCATTTGCGACCACAAATTATTTCATCCAAGTTGATAACAACTAACATCAATAATGTGGTCGTACATGCTCTTACATGAAAATTTGTTCTTTCACCACCATGTTGTACATGGCGCCACCATGTCACTTTTTGCAATACACTGTCATGTCGCAGGGATGGTTTATTATTACTATTTAAATTCACTTAAATCATCGATTTTGAATTTTTGGAGAAACATTTGTCATTCACATGTTGCCTCATATATGAGCAATTTTGCATTTGTGAACTGAAAACTAAATTAGTTTCTTAAAGTAATTTTGGACATTTACAAAATTGTATGTTAAATAATATGTGTGTAATATGCTTTGAGACTAAATTGAGATGTACGCCATTTGAACAACAAACCAGACAATATATTGAACTAACTGGTCAGTTGAGCTGACAGTACGTTAGCCAGCTAAATGGACCAAAACAATAGAAGTTATTGTTATAATGATGAATCACTTCTATTAAAACAAGAAAAGTGATTCATCATTAAAACAATAACGTCTATTGGTTTAGCCCATTTAGCTGGCTAACGTACTGTCAGCTCAACTGACCAGTTAATTCAATATATTGTCTGCAACAAACACACAATTTTAAATTCGTTTTTATTGGTATAAACCTTTATTCATAGGCTATCGAATAGCACATTCACTTTACACTGAACTGGCCATTGTCCTCGATTTTTCTCAGTTTGCGTCGAACATTCAAAATCATGCTTTGTCCGCGGACCGATTTGTCGATTTCTTTCAACTTTCTCTCAATACATCCACCCAATTGTTGCTCGTTTCAAGTATTTTGGATCATCGCCCATAACATACATCCAAAAACAGACGAATAATAATTAATTTGGTGTCTTTTTGTGAAGTTGAAAAAATTGCCCTTTTTTCATGGAAATTCTATATTTTGAGAAGTAAGCCATTATTGCGGGTTTTTCTGTTTTGCAAAGTACAATTTTGTCTTTATTCAGATAGTTCTCGCCTTGCAATAGCCAAATGACGCCTATTGATTCAATCACGATTGGTATTCGCTTACTATCCAATAGGTATCACATAGCAAGTTTATATGAAACTCTCGGAAACTCGGTATAGAGCACTCCAAAAGTCAAAAAAATCCAGATCGTGATTTGGATGATAAGGAATGCGATATTTTTCATTCTGATTTCACCAGGTGATACAGAAAATTGAGTAGTATTGTATTTGTAAATCGAAGAAAAAAAATTTAGATATTTTTTTTCATTTTTCGCGATTTTTTATACCATCTATATAGGAAGCTTGTATGAAACACACGGAAGACCGCTGGAATGACACTGTCGTATCACATGCGTATAAAAAAAAAAAAAAAAAAAAAAAAAAAAA